ATCAATGCGTACCCCGGCCCATACAAGACGTATCGATTATATGACTAATGTGAATGATTTTTGGCTATCAAACAACCCTTTATGACTATCCGGTCCTATATTAAGGTATTACAAACATTGTACTATATTCTATTATTAGGAAGATTATTTGAGACACTAGTTTGTTACCAATGTTGGTGGTGGAATAGCCAACTCTAACTTTACGATGGAAATTGATACACGAGCGTGAGACTATTGTTTCGACTGTATCATTGTGACAAACTGACAAGTATATTAATGAAAGAATGTTGTAGTCAATTTTCAACGAATCAAAAGTTAAAGAGCTTTTTTGGCCGAATTTTCTGGGCTGATTTCGTTACTCTATAATATAGACCCCTTATAAAATTTCGGTAACGTTGATTTGATTACCCCAAACGGCTATTCAGCCGATAGTCCAGTATTTTAGCCCCTCAATCAATTAACAAGTCTTTCAGATATCCAATGGAATAAAATGTCTTCAGAGGAATCACTTCTACTTTGAACAATTACAGGCTTGTAATCTATGACGGAAACACCTTTGAGCGTTTTATCAACCCTGATCCCTAAAACTTAATAGGTACTTAGAACTCGGAACATAAATGTCAATTCTAACCAGAGGTATGCCGTAAAACAGCATAGTCATAAAACAACAGAAAAGAACTGTAACGTCCTTGATAAATCAAAAGAATAGCACATGTTCCACGTACTCAATACCACTACAGAACAATGTTCAAACGTTCTATAATTAGCTGTTATTATTTAGGGATTCTATTTATGAATGTTTGTATTGGGTAATAATTCGGCAGACGGAAATCGAGGGCCCGCCTACGCGAGCCGAGAAAAGCGTAGCGACGTGTGCAATGCTCAGACTGAAGCACGACTAGCAAAATTTTGATGCACAGGTATTAGTGGGCATTAGTATCAGGTTTTATTGCATTCGCATTTAATGCTTGCAGTGTCATGTTTCTCTAGTCACTTGGTACAGAGTGAGAGAAAAGAGGTTCCTCCTGAAAATTTCATATCATAATAAGCCAAAAGGATATGTGACATTATTTAGGGCTGAAAAGACTTTTACTACAGCAAAACTGAAATTCTTTCAATAAACGGCCTCTGAATGTCCATTTAAGAAAATGATTTGTTCTGTTCCAAAGACCAAATCAAACACAATCTTTTTATTGTGTTAATTTTAGCTCTCCACTAACTATGCTTTTACCATAACGAAAATCTGGGAAAGTTGATTTATTCCCGATACCCTTTGTCCTTTAGCAGACGTAGATAAAAGATGACCATTAGTCAGTTGTCAGTATGACAAACCCACGTGTTTAAACAGAAATGCAATGACACGGCTCAATCACACCTGTGTGCGCTTCCAATGAAGATAAATCAACCGTTTGATTGTTTAGCACCATGATTTATTATTAGGACGCATTCTGTCGATCGAAATACTGCGACATTTAAGAATAAAATCGTTATTGTTATCCGTTTATGGAAGCGACTCGGCTGTAACCTGAAACTACATTCTGAGGCAGTGACCTAAACTCCAAATAAAATAAGATCGGATAACTTCTTGCTTTGATGGTTGCCAAAATAGAACAAACGACTTATTATCGTGTGGACAAAGAGAAAAATGGATATCCATAGTCCTATTGTTGTTGTAGGAGAGTCTGAAGACATCAGTAAATCCCGAACCAATTTCTTAGTTCTTTCTATTGTCTTCAAAGTTTAAATATTATGAGAACTGTAATAGTTATCTTTACATGCTGTGCAACTCTGCATGCAAGAAAAGGAATAAGTCACTACTTGATATTAACACTTTAATCTATCATTGTAAATTGCAAACTTCTTACAAAGTGTTGACACTCATATTGTCACCATACAACGAACATCAAAACGACAAGAAATTGACATGGTTCTGAATAATTATCAGCTTTATGTGCCAAACGGTCATTCAGTACCATTAGCGAGCAGTACGCGTGACACAGTGGCAGTCCGGAACACTTTGGGAATTCGCACTGTAATAATAATGGCCGTTTGGCGTCCTGCCATCTACACGGAACACGGCGAAACGCATAAATATTCGGCCAAACATTTGATCAAATGTTACGGTGTATGATGTAATCCGGTATCCTAAATGAAACTTGAGGATGAGTGGCTGGCGTCCATTTGAGCGAGATACAGTTCGATTTATGTGATACTGGAACCTGGAATAGATTCAGAGAAAACGTCGTTCTGCGAAGATAAGATTATATGTAGCTTATGCGGTTAAAGATGTATTGGATAGCCGTTTAAGTAACTTTTTTTATGTGATAGGACAGCAAACGAGCACACTGATTGCCTGATGGTAAGCAATCTGCGCTGCCCATGGCAACAACGGAAGAGTTAGAAGTGCGTTGCCAACCTGTGAGAGATTTAGGCATTGGGGAATAGGAAAGATTGGACCTCTGTTAACCTGACTCACACAAGGAATGTGTCTTTTGCTGAACTTTAAGTTTTTCTCATAGGTACTGCCAAATATTACGGTATGGTTCGCACATTTCACTAATTTCCATATATGCAAAGTGAGCTGTCCATGAAACGGATAAGCACATTAAAAACGTCCTCAAGTTATTGCACAAATAAATACAACTAAGACAGAATTGGAAATTACGATAATATCAGATTTTACACCCGGTGTTACGCGCGATAAGCAATAGGTATAATCAAATCTGCATTATTACTGATAACGCACTCTTTTTGATAAAAAAAAATACGATGATATTGTTAATGGGTGAATCCCTAATATCCGGATATGAGGTCATAGTGACACTGCCGAAAATTATTTGGCGGGAAATTTCAAATTCAAATATATTCCATTATCATTTCTAATAAACGATAAAGATTTCTGTATGGGAGACCTATGCTTCGCAACGAATGGGCCGGCTCAACCTGAGCAATACAACGGCCTCACAGAAAACTGGCGTAAAGCAACACTTACGTTGTTTCGCCGTGTGAGTGAGGTTACCGATGGCTCAGCCCTGCCCTTCCCCCCACCCTCAAACATCAAATACCTTATCCTTAATTTCCTAATAAACCACAAGAAGCCGGCAACGCACTTGTAGTAAACTCCTTTGGTTATGAGTGTCCATGGGCGGCGCTGATTGCTTACCAATACCATCATGTAAAACTGCTCGTTCGCCGACCGACCTATGACATAAAAAAACTATACATATCATGCTTAAAGAAATCATAACGTATTAATATTAGATACATCTTTCATAACCTACCTATATTTTTATTTTGGTCATCAACACAGCTGTCTTATTTGTCAGAAATGCGTATTCGTTAGAATGTCAGAAAACTTGAGATTGCAACAATTTAGCGTCAACGTTTTAATGCTAGTATTTATGTACGTACATAAATTCCCTCGGATTCAGGAATATATGGGCATGATATATTTGACAGTTCACCGTGACCGGTATATGAAACTTGTAGTGTCACTCTGACTAAATGTCAAAATGAAATTAGCATAGAGTATATAAAATAAGTGCATAAACACAAACCTTACTACTCTGTTGGGAATAGTTCGTTAATGAATTTGTGTATATAAAAAAAATATTGATACAAAAAAATACCCGACTATCTGAAACTTTGTCAGGGGTGGTGGAAAAATACTTTGAATTTATATTAATTCTATACTGTCTAGATTATACCTAATATTATAAATATGAAAGTAGGTAACTCTGTTTGTCTGTCTGTCTTTTCTTCACGCCTAAACTAGGTACTGAACCGATTGTTGTGAAATTTGGTATAGACATAGTTTTGAACTCGAGAAGGAGGATAGTTTTTATACCAAAAATCTGAAGGAAGTCACTATTCCACGCGGACGGAGTTGCGGGTAAAAGCTAGTGATTATATAAAGAAACCCTTTTTAAAAATGAACGTGTTTCTACTCAAAAACTACAGCAAGGAAGATCCTTACTGTAGTTTTTTTATTAGCAATTCTAGACGTTAGATGATGATGATGATATTGACTAAAAACTACCCCGATTATTCTCCTGCTCCGTGCCGGGGCTGCGATATATTATCTATTGCATCCGCAACCCTGGCTGAAGGATTTTTGAGGGTGTGAAGCCACTGAATTTAAAAAAAACTCAAGAATATTTATGCGCTCGTAAATACAATAAGTACTGTTGGTTTATCACGTAGGATTTACAACTAAACAATATGATTAAGTACGTAATGATTTGTATTCGTAAATGAAAACAGATTTATTACAAGTAAATGCAATAAAATCAATTAACAATGTACTCAGTTACTACTATATTAATTAAATACAATTTATTTGTATTAAGTTTTTAGTGTCGGCCGTGTTGCGACCCACATTAGCGATTAATGTTCTAGTCGTGGCGCCAAAAATGTTTAATTATCTGTTTTCGTAAACAAGATGGCCGACTTTCACTAGGTCGTTAGGTGCATGTGAATGTGAAAGTTTTCGCGCCCATAATTTTCAGAGACAACGCTAAATAATTGGCGCACAATTTTTACAGATAATTAAATTGTGTGTTCTTTTATGGTTGATACTTTCACATTGTGTAATGTGCTAGGTTTTGAAGTGGAAATAAGAATTTAGCACAAAATATTTTGTTTTTCGTTTATTATTTCTTTAAAATAGCTATCTGCATTAAACTCACTTTTAATGCTTCAAATCGTTTTAATGTAGAATCCAAAAAACCTGTTAGTGGACTTGCTTCGATGTTTTACACGTAAAATTACATAGCAAACATATTAAAACATATTTTAACTGTTTGTAACGTATTCTAAGATATGTAGGTATACATATAGCTACTACTTACCTTCCCACAACTTATAACAAAATTAGATGAAGTAGCTACTGTACTAGGTATGTTTTGTCTGGTAACCCTAGCGGATAAAAAGACTCATGATACCTATTACCTTTGAATACTTATTTGTCCTTATGAGTTCCTTTAATTTCCTTTGTGAATATGTTCCAGGTCGGGCGCATACCGGCGGACCACCCGTTAGTGGGCGGGCACAAAGGCCCCGTGCTAGACATCGCGTGGTGCCCGCACAACGACAATGTCATCGCCAGCGGCTCTGAAGACTGCGTTGTTAAGGTGAGGAAATATTTATACGATATAGGTCGGCAAACGAGCAAACGGATTACCTGATAGTAAGCAATCGACGCCCCCATGGATATCCGCAACACCAAAGGAGTTACGAGGGCCTTTTAGGGATGACGGTTTTGGTAATTTAAGAATTGCTAAGCGATGGGGGGAATGGGGACTGACTGATTGTAACCTCATTCACACGGCGACACACAACGCTGTGGTTGTTTCACGCTGGATTTCTGCGAGATTGTGGTATCACTCCGGTCGAACTGACCCATTCGTGCCGAAGCTTGGGTTTCTAACAATTACGACCTTTACTTACGTTGTGTGAACGAGGTTTCAGTTACAGGAGACATGATCCCTTTCCCCTCTCATCCCCATTACTTGAATCAATCATTCACAAAAGACCGTCAACGAACTTGTAAGTTTGATGTTAGGGTTTCTATGAGCGGCGCCCATTGTTCATCATCAGGTGACGCGGCTGCCCGATTGCTGATATGAACTTCAAAAGCAATGCTACATGCCCAAAACGCATTTGATCCTTTTCTTTCTTATCCTTCTCCCCATGGCTAAAGAAAGTTCTTAGTTCTTCTTTTCTTCTAATTAAAAAAAGTTTTGCTTTACCATTTCAGTGAGGTTATTGAAAGCCCGGTCTTCCTGGTTAAATGATTTGCAACTCTTATGGTTTTGCGAGTGTCCTTGAATCGCTCTAACCACTTTTTGTCAGGAAACCCGTCTGCTCTTAGCCTTATTCCGAAACAAACTGAAGCTTTCAGTTAGTAATTAATTTCGTTTTCATCTGCTATTTAACGCTATTTCGTAAAAAAACAAGCTTTAATAATTAAGAAACTCATTCTGTTTGTAGGTGTGGCAAATCCCAGACGGCGGTCTGTCCCGTACGCTGACGGAGCCGGTGGTGGACCTGGTGTTCCACCAGCGCCGCGTGGGGCTCGTGCTGTGGCACCCCACTGCGCAGAACGTGCTCCTCACCGCGGGATCTGATAACCAGGTAATGATACTTCTTGTCACCTCTACCTACATCTAACACAGCGATTTTAGGCTCATGACATACATTAGGCAATTAGGCCTTACCCATATGGAGATCCTTATCATTTGACTGCACGGTTGGTGCGGTGGCTGGGCAACTGGCTGCCGTGGAACGTGTCGTGGGTTCGACTCAACTCTTTGTGTGATCCACAGTTGTTCCGGGTCTGGATGTCATGTGTATGTGAATTGTATGTTTGTAACCGCACCCACGGCACAGGAGAAAATCCTAATGTAGGCCACGTTTTTTTTTAAAAAAAAAGAAGAAAGAAAGATCTCACCTAAAGATAGACCTACCAGCATAGGTCTCCCTAAATTATTTCATAAGTCGATCTCAGTCTCAATCCAAAGATTTTAGTTTAAAATTAGTGATTTCAGCCATACGAGACACCAATCAATCCATTGTGATTAACTTGTACTAGGACAGAAACAAAACTTTGGAACTGGAAAGAAATGAAAATTATTCTTTTTCATCAAATCCATCATCTTTTTATTAACATCTGATTGATCATGCTGTCTTGTCGTAACTCAAGATTTGTGTCACTTAATAGACTTTCTTATGTGTAAAAGAACAGGATAATAATATTAAAAAAGCTGTATCTGTTTTTGTAGATGTGCCTAGCTACCTACTTACTTACTCCAATATGAACTGGTTTACAGATAGCGATATGGAACGTTGGTACGGGCGAGGTTCTCCTGACGCTGGACTGCCACCCAGACCTCATCTACTCCGCCTGCTGGAACTGGACGGGATCGAAGCTACTCACCACATGTCGCGACAAGAAAATCAGGTATCTACAATGTTTATACTGTAATTTGTATTGTCGTAATGTTGAGGGCAAGTGGGATTGTTATAACTTATATTGATCACGTGACCTGAGGGAATTACGTATTTCGTTCGGCATTTGGCTTTTTATTCCAATTAATTATTAAATTTTATCATACTTTTGTTTATTTTTTTTTGATGATTTATTTAAATTTAGATTTTCTCAGTTAGCTTTTAGTGTTTTACCATAATACTACTCGGGTATTACGGCCAAAAATAATTATTTAAATACCTTGGACAGCTTGACTTTTTGACCTGGTTGCACAGGTCGTGGCCGAAGGCTTGCTTAGTTACTTTTCGCGTTGATACCCGCGTAATTATATTATGTTAAAATGAAACGCGACAGTTTAAAAGTTAGGATAATTACCATTTCAATAAAAGTATTGAATTTTTATTATAACTTTCGTGAAACATTCTAAATATTATGTTCTAAAATTAATTATTATGTTTTCGGCTTACTCACGTAATAATTTGACGAGATAGATACTCGACTAGTTTCAAGCCATGCTAGAGGCCCATATTCATGAGCAGCATTCCGCGACACGCGACGCGGCGACTGTCGCGCTGCTAAGCCGAAAGTCGGCAGTAAGCCGAACACATAATAATTAATTAATATTGAATTTGACTAGTTGAAAACTACCGAATAAATAAACTATGTTTATAATGGTTATAACCGTATTATTTATCTTTGTCAGGATCATCGACCCCCGTAAGGGCGAGGTGGAGTCTGAGGCGATAGCTCACGAAGGCAGCAAGGCATCGCGCGCCATCTTCCTCAAACATGGACTCGTCTTCACTACTGGGTATGTAATCTCTTTAATTCAAGTTACATAGTTTTTTTTTTATATTAGAAGACGGCGAACGAGCAGGCCGATTGCCTGATGCTAAGCAATCGATTTTAAAGATTTAAGCATCCATAGGGATACAGAGACAGATAATGCGACTTTGTTTTATACTATCCTAGCGGTCGCCCGCGTGGATGGCGATTTAACACTTGTACAAACTTTCTCTGGACTTCCACGAATAATTCAAAACCAAAAATAGCCAAATCGGTAAAGACATTGTTGAGTTCACATTACAACGAAAAGTGGCATTGATTTTTATATTAAAGAAGATAATGATACTTTTTTGAAGTGTTTACAGTATAGTTATATTAATATTTCTTTAACAAATTGCAGGTTCAGTCGCATGTCTGAGCGTCAGTACTCGCTGCGCACGCCGGACGCGCTGGGCGAGCCCATCGTGACGGTGGAGATAGACACCTCCAACGGGGTCATGTTCCCTCTCTACGACCCCGACACCAACCTCATCTACCTCTGCGGGAAGGGAGACTCCGTTATACGCTACTTTGAGGTCCGTACTCTAACTTTTTCTATCCTATTTTATACATTACTTTACTACTATACATTACTTACTATACATTTGATGTTTTATAGCCTATAGCACTCAGGAACATTGTAGCTATCTATCAGTGAAAGAATTTTGGAAATCCGACCAGCGGTTCCAAAGATTACCCCCTTCATACAAACTTGTAAATTTAACTTTTTATAATATTAGTATAGACTAGCTTAAGCCCGCGTGGTATGTTGATAAAAAGTAGCCTGTGTCCTATTCCGAAGTGCCAAATTTCATCCAGATCTATCTAGTCGTTTTGGCGTGATTGAGTAACAAACATCATAAGTTTCGCATTTATTTTATAATATTAGTTAGAAGTAAAACTAGCAACCCGGGGCGGGCCATCGGAGGGCTGCAATGCTGATACTAAATTTCCTAATTATTTAATTATAGTTAATATACATATAAATCTTCCTCTTCAATCACTATCTGTTAACAAAAATGCATCAAAATCCCTTGCGTAGTTTTATATAAATTTAAGCGTACATTAGGATGATGAGTAAAGACGAAATTACATCTCAATGCATACTTTAAAATAAATATAACAATATTTTAAAAACAAATCTTTGCTTGCAGGTTACGCCAGAGCCGCCATTCGTCCATTACATCAACACGTTCCAGACTCCAGACCCACAGAGAGGTGAGATTTGTATTACAACATTATTTATTTGTTATGAAGAAGGACGAGCAAGAAACTCCATGGTTACATAGAGTTTCGGAACGAGCAGACGGATTACCTGATGGTAAGCAAATGACGCCGCCCATGGACACTCGTAACTCCAAAGGAGCAACGAGTGCATTGCCGGCCTTTTGGAGCTAAGGTTTTTATTAAAGGATTGGGAAGGGATGGGGAGACTTGGAGGGATGGGCCTCCGCTAACCTCACTCACACGGCGAAACACAACGCTGTGGTTATTTCACGCCAGTTTTCTGTTAGGCCGTGGTATCACTCCGGTCGAGCCGACCCATTAGTGCCGAAGGCGAAGCTTCGGCACTAATGGGCGGCTCTCCTACACAAAAAAATGAAAAGGAAGATCACATTAAGATTCCAGTGATCGATGAATTTATCCTAATTATGATTGGTCCCTAGGTATTGGTATGATGCCGAAGCGAGGTTGCGACGTGGCGACCTGTGAGATCGCCAAGTTCTACAGGCTGAACAATTCTGGACTCTGTCAGGTAAATTCCTTCTATTTTTATTATTCTGTTTATTTTTATTAAGTTTTGACTGTGGCAAAACCTTCCTTTCAAAGGATTTGATTGTATTTAGAAGGAATATGATATTCTTACTTTACTGTTTTTTTCTGATTATGTTAATTTTCAAGCCTTTATCATATGTTCTTATTTTTTAACAATTTCACTTTCCATAAGCATTTTAAAACTGCTGAACAGCTTTGAGTACATAGCAGTTCAGCATTTTTAGAGTTTGATTCAGACAGATAACGTATAATAATAAAATTTTCGAACATTTATTTTTATTATTTAGCAACATTAAACACTATTGACTTGGTCTGGCACTATGAGCATTGCATCTCCTGCAAACTTACTCACATGGGGAAACACAACGCTGTGGTTGTTTCACGTAGTTCTATGAAGCCATGGTACCCAGTCGTGCTGAAGCATGGCTCTCTCATACTTACTTTATTTCACTTCATCTATTTTATTTCATATTCCGCAGGTGGTATCAATGACAGTGCCGCGTAAGTCGGAGTTGTTCCAAGAGGACCTGTACCCCGACACTCTGAGTGACGAGGCGAGCCTCACTGCCGACGAGTGGCTCGCCGGGGAGGACGCAGAGCCCTGCACCATGTCACTCAAGGTACCCTATAGGGCTCGTGGAATATAAACGAGATAGGACTGTGTCATTATAGGGATAGAGCTCATTTTACGTCAAAAAGTTTTAAATAGTCTGGGGTCTTTATATTAGTGTTTATAAGAATTTGCACTTTAGTGTAGTCGGGATAGAGTTGATTTTCCGTTAATACTTGTAGAAGTAGTGTTTTTAGGCTGTGATAATTATTAGTACAACTGATTTGTCCAATTTATTCGTGTTTGAAACTAGTATAATGGGGATAGAATATTTTTTTCTTTACCAGGTATTTGAGTTTTAGTTACAATATTTGAAAAAACTTAATAATTCTTAAGAAATAGCTCTTATTCGAATATGTAAGAAGCAATGATGTCACATATAAAATAGGCATGCCTCGTGTGGGTTTTTATTTTTTGCATTGTTTATGAGATTTTTGGTTTCTCCTAATAATTTTAGCTCTATGCAGGTAAGTATACGCTTATTATATTAACAAGCCTATGTTCCCCGAAGGGTATATAATATATACACTGGGTTTTTTTTCGAGGCCCGAGTGAATAATACTTACTCCCGTACTTCATCGTAGGTCACATCATAGGCAAGATAACGCGGCCAAACTGCCAGCCAGGGCGAATAATAATTTTATTTTTAAGAAATGTTTAAAAATATAATTTATATGTTTATATGATAAATAAAAAAAAAATAACTAAATCAATACTCGTAAAATTCATCCATGTATCACCTTCCAATTTCTCACATTAATTGTCTTACATTTTTTATTGTGTATTCTATATATTAGTAAACTTTTCTCAAAAAAATTAACTAATGGGACTCTTAAACTAATTAAGTAAAAGTACTCAATTCTGTAGTAAGAGAGCAAAATATGACGGTGACTTTTTATGTTATTATGCCTTCTCTCTTCCTGGGTGGGGGAGAGAGTGTCAGACTCTTACTGACTTAAAAACATACCCCGATCCTTTTCTGATCTGAACAGGACAGAGATACGATCAGTTTAGTGTTAATAAACCTTAATATAATACATAAGTTGCCGGGCCTGAGGGGTAAGGGCAATGAGGCACCGCGGCCCCGGCCTAAAGCAGGAGAAGGAACGGGGGCGTCAGTAAGAGTCTGATTCTCTCTCGCCTTAGTCTGGGCGCGAGACGGGAGAAGTCATTTGATTTTCTGCTGACAAAAAAAATAGTTTTTATTTTAACTTAACATCAGGTGAGATAGCGGTCAAGCGCGAACCTATAATCAATAAAAAAAAACTGGATATCCAAACTAATATTATAAATGCGAAAGTGAATCTGTCTGTCTGTATGTCTGTCTTTTTTTTTTTTTACTTGCAATAAACCAGTGCTTGACTGCGATCCCACCTGATGTTAAGCAGTGATGCAATCGTTGATGGTAAGGCGCACTAGTCTGACTGTCTTTTCTTTACGCCTAAACTACTGAACCTATTAGTGTGAAATTTGGTACAGACATAGTTTGGAACTCGAAAAAGGACATAGGGTAGTTATTAAACCAAAAATCTGCAGGAAGTCACTATTTTACAACAAGTCGCGGGCAAAGGCTAGTCATTAATAATATAGATTCGGAAATTACTCTCTACTGTTTATATTGTGTGCTTAAATTTTATTTGTAGTAAGTAAGTACTAAAAGCACGGTCCCTGCCTACACCACTATAGTCCTGAATGTACTGTTGGCTTGAATCTAACGACTAAATTGCGTTTTTTACTGTCTGTTGTGTGTTGTGTCTTTTTAACTGCGACTTTTTTAATCGATTGAGACTTTTTTTGTCGTGTTACTAACCTTGCTATCTGTGTACTTTGATTTTTTATAATGGGATTTCCATCTTAACTCTCAGTCAGTTTCATGCCCGGTTTCCGAAAGCCCGATCAATGTTAAAATCAACTAACTAGGTGTCAAATCTCTTGTCAAGTCATCTGATTGGTTGTTGATAATTCAGTCAACCAATCAGATGACTTGATAAGAGATTAAATTGATTTTCGGAAATGGCCTTTCAGAACCGGGTGTAAGTCTTTAGAAATAGGAGATGATGACACATCGTCAAATTCAATAGCTGTTTTTAATGATGTAACGGATATGTTGCTCGGAATCTTGTTTGAAGAATTATATTGTCATATTTTTATTGTTATTAGATGCATTTATTATTCTTACATATTATATTGACGCATTTAATTTTTTTGGGAATTAAACAAAAAGTAACTTTTGATGTTTTGTTGGGAACGACTCATACTCACGTGAGCTAATGATAAAAACTCTACTAGTTTCGAGTTACAATGAAACTTGCTCTTTCGTTGTGACTTGCAACTTAGTAGCTCTCGCCAAACTTTGTGGCCGCCCTGAATATGGTCGCGAGTCCGAACTTGCGCATGGAGTTCGGACTCGCGACTATATTCAGGCATGACATATGAAGCTTTTATCAGTCAATTCAGGCGAGTAAGTCATATTTAAAAAAAAAATAAGGTTTCAATTAATTTCATTAATGATGTTATGGTAATCATTTTATTTATTCGTGTCATCATCTCGTTTGTTTTCAAACCAAATAATTAAATGTCTCGAAATGCAGAAGTTTATGTCTTTCTTCAACGTTTTAAGAGCAAAGAGTTTTTATATGAATAAAAACCTTATGGAAGTTAGGTAGTGAATCAATTACCAATCCATTCCTAAAAGTTGGGATTACAAAAATTCTATAACTCATTTGTGTTTTCTCAAGTTACTTGTTATTATATTAATAAAAAACTGCGGTAACATTTTCATACCAAAAATTTTAAAACCTAAGCTAAAGAAGCTTACCAATACTAATTTAACATTGCGGGTACTTAAGCTTTATCATTTATTAATTTCGGCAAGCTATGATAATTTTTCAAATTTACAAAAGCTTCATCCTAATCAGACTTATTTTATAAGTCTCAACTGACGATAACAGAAAAACGTTGCTTAAGCAACAATTTCATTAATAAAATGTTACCTTGTACTTTTCTAAAATGTCTTTCATAAGTATGTAGAACCAAACCTTTCATAAGAAGTAAAACCAAAATCAATATAAAAAAAAGATTGATTCAAGCGTTGTTGAGTAATGAACTTACCAACACATTTTGCGATTTATTTTAGTTTATGGAAGTACTTATACAGTGTCCACTCACCTTCAGAAGGGTGTAAAGATCTTTTTTTATATGATGACGTTACTATAAAAAACAATAATTCAAACCACATTATTTCAAGTAACTTGATGAAAAACAAAAAGTAACTTCAAAATTTCTCACTAAGAAAAAATACACACAATTTTTATTTCCCTCGTAATATAATATTAATAGTATAAGACACACACAACGGACCACCACCGGTACCGCAGCCAATAGTACAGTCGAGGACAGATGTTACGAGGTAGGGCTCCCCGACCCGACTTCAGGAGCGTGCGTTGGTTGTACAGGGAGGATACGTGGCCGGGCGCTCCGCCCCCCAGCTCACCGTCACCAAGAAGGCCAACGCCCTCGCCGGGGCCAAGGAAAGGGATAAGGACAAGGACCGCTCCCCCACTCCCGCGCAAAAGAGGGACGATTCTCACGCTGGTACTCCTGCCTCTGCGACTCCACCGCCCGCCATCAATGCTGCTGTGGTATGTTCATTATATGTATTTTTTTATATGATAGGACTGCAAACAAGCCTTCGGATTACCTGATAGTAAGCAAATCAGCGTCGCCCATGGACACCCTCAACAGAGGAGTTACGAGTGCGTTGCCGACCTTTTGGAGATTAAGGATTTGGAGATTTACGGATTGGCAAGGGATTGTGGGAGAGGATGCATTGGGCCTCTTTTAACCTCACTCACACGGCGAAACACAAGTCTGTAGCTGTTTCACGCCGGTTTTCTGTGAGGCCGTGGTATCACTCCGGTCGAGCCGAAAAAGTAGATAGAGGCTTTCATAATCTCCCTTTTTAATAATTCTTTATATGGTTGTGTGGTCCAATAGTAGCTTTACACCATGTTGTAAAGATCTATATGAAACAACTACTCATTTTTAAGAAGTTCATGGTATAATAATATGCCTATCATCTTTTAGTAGTAAAACATAATCAAATTAACTAAATCATTGTACATTGTACAACAGGAGAAGCAACTATCAGATCTTGTCGACGAGATTCGCAAGCTGAAGTCGGTGATTGTGAAGCAAGAGAACAGGATCCGAGCCCTAGAGGCCACAGTGAAGGCGGCGCCTCCGCCCCCGGCCGCCGCCCCCTCGCCGCAGCCCCCCGCCGCCACAGAGTCACACAACCACGAGGACGACGCCATGGCACCCGACGAGGTCTGAGCACGTACCCCATCCTTACTTACCTTGTGTTCTTTAATCTGGTAGACCAAGGAACTGCGTACTTTACTCAAAAACCATTAAGACGTCAACTGCTGGACATAGGCATACTCCAATAACTTCCAGTTGGGTTACATCCAGCTGGACTTTCTGCGACCTTAAATGTATGATCAACAAGGTCGAATTTTATATGCCATTGAATGGTTATTACGGTCTATTTTCGAATGTATTAATTTCTATATGGGAACGTTAATATGATCTTTTTATACCTTTTCTACACTTTTTTCTTCCATAAAAACTGCTAGATTAAAAACACAAAGTTGAGACTAGTCGATATGAATTTTAAATATGTTGCCACACAGATTATTATCTGCTTTCTGAGCTCAGTCAAACAGTTTAGAATTTATATCGGTTAAACAAATCCAATAATGAAAAGTCACTACATTTTTTTTAAACTTGACAATAACTATATTATAAATTAGGAGCTGTAATGGTAAGGGTATGTTAAAAATGTTGTGAATTTTCATTATTTAAAATGAAAGGTACACTGGCGTGCTGAAATACTGCACCGGTCATTTTGATCAATTATATCTGACATTTGAGGTGTGATTCGAAGACTTTACATTTGGAACATGTTCTGCCTTGAAACAAAAGAAGTCTTTTCTTTAGTCTACGTCAGGTTTTGTATTTCAAATTGAATGTAGGTGAGAATAAGATTCAAAATACAAAACCTGACTTCTGTCTAAACCTAGACTAAATGTAATAAGGATGGTTACAGTGCGGCCGACGTATCTTGGCGAGTCGTAAGTTAGCCGATTAGCTGCGCAGTAGACAATTTTGTTCCTAAAAGATCCATTGCGCAGACAAACGGCTAACTTCAGACTCGCCAAGATACGTCGGTCGCACTGTATGTTCCATACTTTAAATCCTCATTTAAAGAATAGTATTTCGGCTCTCCAGTGCACTTTGAAGCTATTTATTCATTAATAAATAATATTGTAAATAGTAGTAAGTATAGCGAAGTGATAAAAACGCGGATTAAAGTTATGTGCCTTAACTCATTTACATATATGTTATATTATACCGTCACAAGTCATTTTTATATACTATTGAATCGGTGGTGTATATTTTTACGAGCTCTCGACATATAGAATGTTTAGTAGAAAACAGATCTAACTCTTCAAAGAGGGTTTTTCAAAATTGAACCTTATTGTTGAAATATAAAGCTTAAGATTACAATACCTTCTTTTTTTAGTTAGGTCGTTTTTCTATTAAACCTACGTTTATGATAGCTTCTTTTTTACAGAAAGGGAACTATGTATAGATAAGAGTTCCAAGTCTATTAGAACGGAGCAATAGTTATTAACGTAGAATTACAAAGTCAGATATTTTGTCTCTTTCTTTTTAGAGGACCAAAATGTTTATTAGTAAAAATGTTTTAATATTTCAACCCTTTTTTCAAGTAAACTTCATTTTGTTATACGAAATTGCTCCTTAAAGAGTCCAATGTCCTTTTTTCTAAAATGAAACTTTATTTGGCTATCGTTAAAGTATATTTTAGAATGGATTGAAACATTCAAGTGTTTAAAGAACTTAGTTAATGGTCTATTCAAAATAACTGCGTATGTATCTACATAAATTAAATTTAACTGTTTTTATAATATTATAGTAGGAACAAATCAATTTTATAGTTTTAATAGGCACGAGCGTCGCTTGTAGTATTAAGATAATTCTATTTATTTTTTACATGTATTTTGAATGTGTAAACAGTTTTATTTTATCGATAACAATGTTGACCAACTTTTAGAAAATTGGAAATGTTGATAGTGCTATTGTATATTATATTACAAAAAGATTAATATATCACTAAAAAATTTATGGATATTATTTACAGAAATTCAATACTAGGTACTAAAATGAAATTATTGGTATATCAACTTCATTTCAAAGAACTTATCCCTAAGATAAAATGTTTACATATTCACGAAACATAAAAACTAACCCTAGTTCACACGTTTCTCATAAATCTATCGTATATTTAACTATTTATATGAACTGTCAATATTATGAAAACCCGTGTGGATAAGGCTTTAAATTAAAATTAGATTTTTGAAATCGTTTACTGGTTAAATTAAAACCAAGAAATTTTTATTGAATTATTTTATTTTATACAACGAAAAATCGTAGTAGCGAGATTAATAAGAAGTTTAGAAATTAGCTTTGTACACGATTTCAAAAGTCTAATTTGAAACGATTCTTTAAGTTAGGCTTAAGAGTCCAGTAACTTGGTGCTTTTGTATATCTTTAATATTTTCAAATACCTAACGTATAAGGCGCAACGCTTCTCAACAAATTGCTGGCTCAACGCATTATTAATAATATTTTTTCTACTATTATTCTATTCTAGTTAATAAGTTTGCTGTTTTAATTCACCTATGATTTGATTTGTAAGTATTTTCATAATTTCGGCGCGAAATCGAGCCGCCATCTTGAGTTTTAACACACCAGCGCGTCATTCGATTAATTTTTTCTTTCCACAAAATAATCTTATAATACATTTAGTCGTCGATGAAGAGACGCGATTTTTTCATTTAACACAATATAAAGTATTAATTTCATATCATTGGATACATTTTACATGGTCCATGGCAGCTAGTCATGTCAGTTATGAAATTTGACATTTGACAGTAAGTCGCGCTGTCGCCTTGACAGTTAGTATTATAGTTTAAATTTTTTAATAGTATTATTACGACGATTATATTTCTTTTGTAATTTATGATGGCGTAAACTTAGATGTTCGTTTTAGTATCATGACAAAGCAATGTATGATTTTGTATGAAATATGCTTGTATTTGACCACAATGGATATTTGTGTTAGCTACTATGGAGATGGTTTTGTATCGTGCCTTCAGAAATGTTTCGAAATGTGTAAATATTAAAGAGCTATCGTAAAGCTAACGGTACGAAATTTATTCCTTTGCCAACACTTTCTCCAATTTGTACGTGACGCTTTTGTATTATTTTTTTCATAATCGAGTTTTTTTTCTTAGCATTTTTTAACCTTTTGTGTAAAAACGCGCTATTTTAATGTACTTAGTGTAAATTTTGTAAACAACAAGGAGGCGAACTGTTCATTGAATTTATTTCATGAAGAGTTGAACTAATGAAATGTAGGAAAGAGTTGTATTGATAGAACAATATTAACTTGAGTTCTCTCACTGGAAGAGCATTACCAAATTATGTCTTTAGCTCTTACCATTTCAGTCCTTATTATACAAGATTCAAGGTTGAAAATAGTGAGATACTAATTATATTCAAAGGACCTTCACAATATCAGTTCACTGAACGTCCCCCCTAATGTTATAGGATGTCGACTGTTAATATTTTGACGTTAAATAATTAGTAATTGTGTTTTTTTCTCTTACCACCGCTTTAGACGCTTCCCGTATTAATAATGTATTTCATGTGTAACTTTGGTTTGGACTCGTTTGCTTAGAAGTTGATGAAAGGAGGTTTTAAACTACAAACTACTAGCAAATGCCCTTAGCACATTAAACGCTATCCCGGCCTATGGTGCTCGACTAGCAGAGCTTAAGAAAATAAGTGCATAAAGGATTATTAAAGCACTTTTTTGTTTACTAGCTTCTCTCGCGCGGTTTCACCCGCTGCGCGGCTCCTACAGATCGCGGCGTGATGTTTTATAGCCTATAGCACTCAGGAACATTGTAGAAAGAATTTTGGAAATCCGACCAGGCAGCGGTTCCAAATATTACCCCCTACATACAAACTTACAAATTTTACCTCTTTATAATATTAGTATAGATTGCTTTTTCTTAATATTCTTCTCAAGCAAACAAGTTTAAAATCCATTCGCAATATTCACCTTAAATGTAAATATTATCAACTCCTTTTTTTTATTAGAAAATGTGACAGCTGAAAACTGAAAATAGTAAAATATAAACGCACAATGTTCTTTTTTTTATATTATACGCTGTCTTAGGATGTATAAAGGCTGGAAGTCCGTTGACTATGAGTCTTACTGAATAGAAACAATTTTTGTATGTATAATGCATCTAAGAAAAAGTTATGTAGATTTTTTTATGTATTCGGTGCTAATACTGTATTTTCTTGTACTGTGGAGATTTTAAGCTGTGACTAAATGATTTTGAGTAAATATTTACTTTGTTAAAACTGTAAAAGTCTCAGCCAATCCCAGACAAGATTTTTATAACAATGTAAGTAAATAAGTATTATGAACAGTTACTATGTATTGTTTCGATAACAACTTGTGGCTTTACTGAGCAATATTTTTAAAGGACTTTTAAATCGTATTATTAAAATCTACCAAGTCACTGCATACCATCTATAACTGTTTATCGAATTTGTATAAAAAATGTTTCACTATATGCATAGCAAATATACAACTGTTCTTCATAAAATCTTATCTATAATATACATTGTTTTTAAATGTAAAATGTGTAAGCTCAATTTTTTATGTTTTTTTTTTTCATCTTATCCGTTTTTTATACAGTCTAAGAATTTATTAAGTATATATGCCTTAATTCGGTGCTATTGTTAAAGTGCCAAATGCCTTTGTGCTGATATAAAAAATTGTATAACATTTTACATAAAATTGTCAATATTATATTAAATAAATAAATATAGGTGTTAAGTGCCTTGTTGTGTTTTGATAAGTAATACTCAGATCATTAATGTTGCTACGAAAGTTGAACAGAAATATATATTTATTTTACTATTTTCATTGGTCGTATTATTTATAAACCTAATTTTTGCAATCGCCAGATGGCGCCACTTACGATTAAGGATCTATCAATTTATTACAGAGTAGCTACTGCCACGCGGTTCCACACGCAGCTCGACTTTATTGGTGGCAGGGTGATGTTTATAACCGATTCCAAAAATTACCCCCTACGTAAAAACTTACAAATTTACTTTATGATATTAGTATAGATTTCTTACTGGGGATAAAGAGACTATAGTATAGGATCCCGACTATAATATATAATACAACGACCTTCACCGAAATGTTTATTTGATGAACATATTTTATATTCAATTTTGTTTGCCAATAATTGTATTCCATGTGGGTTGCCTTATAAATATCAGTCCAGGATATGATTAATTGATAATTTAAAAAAGATTTTTTTTATATATTTCACCCATACAAAGTATGAAGCCCATAGAATATGCTAACGTTAGGTTGCTTATTCTTTTCCAGTCATAACTCTCGGGTTGCCAGGTATCAACAGGTAAATCGATAGTAGCATTTTACACCGGTCAGATAATTTAATCAAATTAAATATGTTTCATCAAATAAACATTTTGGTGAAGGTTCGTTTTATACCGGGATCTTAGACTATTAGACTATTGTTTCCATTCGCTATTAAGCCACAATCAATTATTTTCGTACGTAATATCCTCATACGAGAGGTTAAGTGGATAAAGTTTCAGAACCCAAATAAAAACAACATAATAACGGTTATATAAAATATGTATTTACACTTCAAACTGTTGGTCAAATTGTTCTTCGGTAATTTTGCGCTTTTTCAATTTCTTCATAAGCGCTATATCGGCTGCAAGTTCATTCAGTTCCTCTTGTGTTACCGCTTTACGTTTGCGCTTCTTCCCACCTTCTGGCTCATTCTTTTTCAGCTCTTTTCGCTTTTTCCTCTTCTGTTTTCGTTCTTCCTTATTTAACTTTGCTTGCTCCCATGGCTCTGATTGTACCTGCAAAGGACATCAATAACCGCATATGAGTAATGATGATATTGCAATTGAAGTTAATGGTAAGAATCTTCGAAAATGGATTCAGACTTAAGGACTGCATACGCGGATTTAGATATAGAACCTCTAGGGTGCAGTTCCATTGAGGCGGAGCGGAGAAGAGCTGTCTTTTTCGATTTCGATTCTCGATTTCGAACTCGAATGTGGATGCCATGTGGTGTAAAAACACGTGATTCACCAATCACATGGCTTAAAATCCACATCTCTAATGATAGGATCTATCTCGAATGTGGATTTCATTCAATCTCCGCTCCATCTCAATGGAAATGCACCCTTAAGACCGACGAAATACAAAATGATGATATTGTCTTACACCAATATATTCACTGAATGTATAGATTTTTTTTAAGATAATTAGCTTTTTTAATTATATGCAATAGAGCAAGAAAAAGAACTTTTTGAAGAAGAGTAACGTTATAGTTTCATTCTCGTTCTTCTTTTTTTGAATCTACAATTTGGAACGAGCACCTACTAGCTTCACTAACGAACTGACTGACAGACTACTGCTCTATTAAGATGTTTCAATTTATGATTAATGATTTAGTTGGAATAAATGATTTTGACTTTATTTATCTAACTAAGACCTCACCATTTTCTTTTTCTTCTTCGATGGCCATACACCAGTCTTTTTAAACTCTCCCAACTTCTGCAAACGACTAGCTTCCTTCTGTTTATCCTTATAAGGTATACTATTAAAATCTATTTCTTCTTTCGGCCCAACAAATTGGTCTTTGTGTTCTTGTTTTATTTCGGGCATTAATGGTAGCTTTAGAAGGCCGTAGCTTGTAGCTATATGACCTAAAGGTAATTCTTTGAATTGCAATAGAAGGTTACATTCGTGCTTTGTGTAGGCTCGCATGTGCGACACGAACGCACGTAGGCCTTTGTCTAAAACTGCTCTGTCTTGCTTCTGTTGTTCATGTAGCATTGATAGTACCTGGAAAATTGTTTTTAAAGGGCATTAATTATTACGTCACGAGTGGTGACATTCCTCTTTTTTTCTTTACTTTTTTTTGTTAAGGAGATAATCAATTAATTTTCCCGCCCTTCGTGGGGCAAGAGAGAGCTTCAAGACTCTTATTGACTAAAACCAACCCTTTCATTCTCCCGCTCCGAACCGAGCCACGGTCGCAATTCATAAGAACAAACAAAATAAAAATAGCTTATTTCAACTTAATTACCTTATCTTTTAACTTAGGATTAATTTTGATTTCATCTTTAGATTTCCTCCAGTCTTTGAGTTCTACCATCTGATTGGTCTTAATGAAGGGTACGTAGGTGTCTTCCGTGGGTAGTAGAGGTAACAAGGAGCACCCTGCGGCTCCGCCCCGCGCCGTACGACCCACCCGATGTACTAGGGAAGCAGGGTTCGTAGGAGGCTCCCATTGGAGAACCCATTCTACTTCTGGGATGTCTAGACCTCTGTAAACAAGAAATATTGATGAGAATTAACTAAAAAATTATCGCAATGTCATTCCTACATTTTTTTACTGATATAACACATAAATTTGTTAAAGCAACATTACTTATTACTAGTTAAATTTAAGAAACGATAAAAATAGAAAGTAGTTCGAAATAATAGCAGACAAAAGAATATCCATTGCATATAAATTAATAATAAACTTACCTTGCCAACAGGTCTGTACACAACAAAATAGTATTATCAGCTTGTCTGAACTTTTCCAAAATTTTACTTCGCTTCATTTTCATTTTACCATGTATGGAGAAGATTTTTATATCTGGCAAGAATACTGGCAACACATCTGCCCAGTAATCGACGCATGCGCAAGTTGGTAAGAAGAATAGCCCTTTAGCAATTTTCCTGTTCCTTATAAAGTTTAAGAGGAAGAGAAACTTATCTTCAGGTTCTACTATGACATAATAATTTTCTAGAAGGATTGGAGTGCTTATGGTTGATTTTTCTTTAACACTCACAACAACAGGGTTTCTTAATCCTGCTCTGACTAGATCTTGAAGTTCTTTAGTCTGTGTGGCTGAAAATAAACCTGTTCGTCTCTGCCGTGGTAGATATTGGAGGATGGTCGTGAGAGTTTGACTGAAGCCTAAGTCAAGAAGCCGGTCAGCTTCATCAAGGACTAATATATCCTGTAATAAGAAAAAACAATTTTTGTAATTAGTTATATTATATTGATGAACTTCCTGGGCATAGAAACTGAATTTTCTTTTTTCAATTGTATTTATTTCTAGTTATTGGGCACTGGTACTGAATAAGACTATCCAACATAACTGAACTAAACAATTTATATATATTACTAAATAGTTAACTGTTGTAACTATAACTGTGTAAATATTGTCCTATTGAGTGAGCGAGAGAGGGAGATCCCTCTAGAACTTTGAACTAACCATCTCTTTCAGTCTCCCAGACAGATTAAGCTGCTTTCTCTCAGCCAGCAAGTCTCCCAACCTGCCAGGAGTGCACACGGCTATTTGAGCTCCTTTTTGAATGGCCTCTATGTCAGCCTCCACGGGCCGCCCTCCAAGAAGCAAAGCCATTGTAATGTGTGATAGTTCAGGTTCTTGTAAAAAGAGTTCTATGACCTGAAACGAAAAAAAAGGTTATTGAATATCTTTAGTGATTAATAATGTTGTTTATTAATATCCTGATGTAATAAACAACATAAATTTATTGTTAGTGAAACAGTCTTACTATATCTTCTATTGATAGTTTATTTTTTTTCATTATTGAATAACATATTATTAGGTACATTAGATTAATTTTAAATGTAGTTTTGTTTACAAGGCAGCACCTTGTTTTTATTATTATTTGATTTATTAAGATTATGTGTACTACTCTTAGTACTTGAGATAAGTTGTTACAAGGAGTTTCAGAGGTGATTGATAAAAAACACAAGTCGATTTGCCAACTATACAAATCAATACAATACCTTATAAATCTGTGAAGCTAGTTCTCTAGTTGGTGATATAATAACAGCATAAACATAGTCTTTCCGAAGTGGTGACTCCTTTTGTTTCTTAATTAACATTTCCAACATCGGTACAACAAATGCCAATGTTTTGCCGGAGCCTGTTACTGCCTCCGCAACCACATCTTTGCAAGACATGATTAAAGGTATCACAGCCGCCTGTATAGGAGTCATGGTCTTAAAACCCTGTTTTTCGATACATGATAACACGGGCTTTGAAAGCCCAGGTGAAATTTTTGCCCAATCTTTTATAACCATCCTTGTTTTTTATTTAATATGCGCTAAAACTTTAATTAAAATATTGCACACCGATAAAATAACAGCAACATCAATAACCATGTGGTTTTGACAATTTTGACATTAATTGGTCTGTTGACATTGACAGCAGTTAAAAAGGTGTTACAAAAACAAAAAAAAAAATAAAGAATTGCCACAACAACACACAAGTTAATTAATAATTTTTTGTGAAGTGAATTTTATGAAGTGATAATATTTTTTATTTGTTTTGTTGTGGTTATTGTCCACTATTATGAATAAATAAAAGTGAAAGGAGGATTTTTTGTATTTATTTTTTAATCTAACAACTTCTTGTTCGTTCTAAAATTCTTTAACGAAACTATTATACAAGAACCTTTTCAATGGAAAGGAAATATTATTATTTAATTAAAAACCGTTTATTTTGTTTATATTTTAGTATTGATTATTATAAAGATAAGAATAACCAGCATTTTAAAGTTTATTTTGATTATTTTTAAACAATTTTCATAATTTAATTTCAAAACTGTATGCAGATTTTCAATCATTTATTTTATTATGGTATTGGAATCAATATGGCGCATGTTGATATGACAAATTGACAGCTGTGTTTTGTCCCGTACGTTAGCTGTGATGTTTATTTTACATCTCCAGGCAGATAACAACAATATATAACCATGACGAGGCCGTTCGGTAATAACGACAAGCGCTTTTCAATCGACGATGCATTTGAAGAGGAAACCGATGAAGCCATTAAAGTATACGGTGCTACAGGAGACAGATCGCCTTTACAGAACAAATACAAGAATGGAAATGAATATTTGGCCAGGTATTTATGGTTTAAGTAATAATTAGTACTTTAAGGGTCATCGTTGCTTATAAAGCTTCAATATGAACTACTTTTCTTTGTGTTAAAGATTCAGTTTGTTCGTGACCTTTTCGTGAGTCATGTTTCCTTACTGGGTTAAAGGCAGTTGAACCTGGCAGCCGTTACTTGGTTTACAGACATAGTTCGGTGCACGGGGCCGCTAATTACTTGCAAACAAGCGCTAATTAATCTTGTTCACTAACCCATTTTATGATGTCGTGTGTTCATTTTGTTGACTTGTTATACATATATTTACTTAGATAAAATATCGCAATTAATATTGAAACCCGAAAATTCGTTTTATTCTTTTATCGCTCATGTTATTTGTTAATTCTAATATGAATATATTTATTATATGTCAGTTTTCTCATTGTATGAATAAGACAATAACTTTATTATAAGTCTTGCCATAAAACACAATGTAGTAGACTAACATTGTGTAAAGAATAACTTTCAAGATAAAGGATTCTTAGCAAATACCAATAAATATTACATCACTAACCTAGAAATAGCATAAACAAGATCAACTTGCATACTTCTTGCTTAATTGAACAAAGGCATCAACATATTCAGCCTGAACCAGCCTACCTTGAATATATTTTTTTAGCTTGTAAGAAATGTCACAAGTCAATAACTTATACTTTTTATGGTGCAGTTACAACAGTTTTGTGATAATGTAACTTTATTTCCAATTTTAAAATCTTTTTCATATTTTCTGCCATAATACATACATACAGAAAGTTGATAGCATAAGAATGTAACAAGAAAAACATTAAGTAGTTTGCAATAAAATTCCTTGCATATTATTGTTCATTAATGGCTCATTCATAGCTAAGCCACAGATAATTTATTCCTGTTTTCAATTGTCTACTAGACTAGACTACATACCTACTATTATGCTTACCTACTTGAAACCACACAGTTCATCATATTTATACCTCCTTTTGAAATATTTTAATAACATATTACTACTACTTATTAGTGTATTAATAAAATCAGCAGGATGTTTATAATTTTCCTTGTACAATTTTATTATGAGATGTTTTGAATTCACATAAATACTATATTTTACTTGTTGTGTAGGTAAATTAGTAAATTCATAACGAAACTAAGTCACTTTTAGGTACCTATGATCACTTTATTTTGCAAATTTATCCTGTAATAAGAAGTTTGATGAAAAGGAATATTAATAACTGTAATTTTTAAATGAAGGAATGAACTTGTTTTTTTGTTGTGGGTTATTATGGAATTATTTATTTAATTAAAAATCCACAGTGTGTTCTTTTTTGTATCTTTAATTTGTTGGCCCCCATCGTAAGTATTTTAAATACAGCCCTAGGTGTGATGGATTTATTAAACATATATAATATAATTAGCAAAGATTTTCACAAATATTAAAAATGAGCAGGCAGCATTTTGTTAAAACTGGAAAGACAGGTCTCATATCAACCTAACTATATTGCAACACATTTTTAAAGGCAATCAAAATAAAAACCTTTTATGAGTTTTTTTCACCATGTGACAAATTATGGAATAACAGTGATGCCAAATGATTCACTCAACATTAATAGTGGACCCATTTTTTGTTCTTGTTTCTGTAACCTCTTGTTCTAATGAATGTTCGGAGTACTCATCAATTAAATGATGACTAATAGCACAGCATAGTCTCCTTTTTCATCTTTTAACATATATCATTCAGTTGAGGATTTCCTCTTTGTGAAGCGACTTGTTTATTCAGTTTCATCTCTATTTTTTATTGTCTTTGGTGTCCAAAATGAAGTGCATTCAAGAAAAGAGGTGTGATATCATCTTCGTTAATGTCAACCTGGAAAATAATAACAGGTTCCGTTTCTTTTATTTTAGTGTTATTTAACTTGCTACTTCTTATCTTTATGTTAAACCTTTTTAATGCTTTTTATAATGTGTTCCACTTGAGAGATTTTCAACTTTGGATCATGTTTTGCATTTTAAAATTCTCTTTATTTTTCTTTACCTTATCTTATTATTTGAAAACAGTAAATAATGTTTGCGCCAGACTTTTTATGTACCTAAGGTTAAACCAATAAGCTTTTATAAATACGGCTCAAAAATCAAAATTCTTTTTAATTACCTAACGAACGATTAATACTTACATTTTTTATGTTAACTTTGGAATTAGTAACTTTCTTGTTTAACAGATTAATGTTTCTATGCAAATTCTAATTTTTTGCAAGTACCTTACAATGGTGGTATTTCAAGGCACAATAGAAGAAAAATAGGTGAAACCCGGCGTTTGATTGGGGTTTTATGACTTAATCTGTAATCCAGTAACATACCACTGTAAATAAAATAGTACTAGTCGATATGCTTCTTTAAAACTATGCAACGGATTTTGATGCGGTTTTTTTTAAGATAGAGTGATTGACGATCCAGTAAATAGTGGCGTAATTTATTATCAGCCTCGCACCCGTTTCACGCTGGGACAGGTCGCTAGTTAATCATAATTTATTTGTATACATATAAACTCTATCTATATGGTTAATAACTTTATTCAATGCACTACATTATACATTATAAAACATAAAAACAATTTGCTTGATAACAACTCGAAATGAATTGGATCAAGGATAATAGATTTGTGCATTGTTTTGGATTGTATTTTATCAAAACAATAACAGATAAACATTACATTTATACAAATAGGTATTTTGTAACTTATTCTCGAATGTACCTACTAAAGATATCGCCCTACCTAATCTCTATTTAGGTACCTACTTAATGACTGATTGTGCTATCAATAAATTATCCTCAACAATCCAAATTTCCAAATTAATATTATAAATGCAAAAGTAACTCTGTCTGTCCGTCTGTCTTTTCTTCACGCCTAAACTACTGAACCTATTTATGTAAAATTTGGTACAGACATAGTTTGGAACTCGAGAAAGGACAAAAGATAGTTTTTAAACTAAAAGGCTGCAGGAAGGGCAGCTCCTATTCCACATGAATAAAGTCGCAGGCAAAGGCTAGTGTTTAGTTTTTTAAACGGTTTATTAATTCAAATAAATTAGAGTAATTACGAACTTTGTGCCAAATAGATTAAAACGTAAAATTAAACGAGACACTCAAAAGCATTGCCTGTCTCGTTTAAAGGTCTAAACCAAACCAACCAATGGATTTCGTTAGAAATATGGCGACGCACATAAGAGATCGACCATAATGTTCAATGGATGACGTCACAAATTGTACATCATGCAACTGAAGTTTGCGCGCGAATAAACACGGATAGCCTTTCAATCATGACAAATCGAGACAGTAGAATAACAATAGGTGCGCGAAGGCCTTCGCTTGGGGTTTGATGAGATAAAAAAATCCCAACGTACAACTGGGCAGTAGTAGTTTGTATTATCCAAACTAATATTATAAAAGAAAAATCTGAACGCCTAAACTATTGAACTGATTTCTGTGAAATTTGGAATTCGAGATAGGACATAGGATAGTTTTTATAACAAAAATCTGTAGGAAGTCACTATTCCACGCAACGCAGTCGCGGCCAAAGGCTAGTAAAAAAAAAAGTAGCCCGCCAGGCTGATCACCTAGCCTGGTCTGAGGATCCTCCTTTACCGATCTTAGGGAACTTTACTTTCTGTTCCATAACGAAATTTTGTGTAAATCTTTTATCAAGATGATTAAAACCCCAAATCAGTAAATGGTATTAGCAAGTAGCTAGGACTTTGTTTTGTGTCGTCAACTATGGAAATAATTTAGTAAAACTGACTAAGTAGAAAAGGGACTCGCGCGCGATGATGTTTTTATTGTTTTTTCATTATACACAGCCCGATTAATATCGCAAGCAGAAAACTTATCCCCAATTTTAAAGCTCTGATCCAAAAGGCAATGCGCTTGTGTGGTGGCTTTGGGGGTGATTGTTCACCGTCAGGAAATCGTCAGCTCTTTGCTGATTGGCTTCCTAAGATGGCACTTCCTTTCTGGTTTAAAAAACTTCTGAATACTACATAGAAATTTATAGTTTTTGACATTTGAAAAAGGCTGTAGCTAAAACATCTGTTTACCATTCTAAAAAGTAACCGAATTCCGACAAAATATCAAAATATTAAGGAAAAAACGTTAAACATTTGAATTTAATTCAAGCAATTTTTTAATACAAAATAATACAAATGTAAAAAATAATAGTAAACAGTAGCCATTTTCGATGTTATCTAAGTATTAAACAAGCAGAAAATGAAAGTAATCGATATTTGAAACGATGTTTTACCAAGGTTTTTTTCAATGCTAACCTTAATCTCAGTTGGTGTCGGCTGTCTCATACGAGTACCTTCATACATTCTTAAGGCACTTAACTAGTTTATATAAATCGTGTACAATTGGCCCTGGAAGGAATAAGGAATTTCATGTGGGAGGGAGTACTTCCTACTCTGCTAATCGAACTGGCTGAGCGACCGGTGCAAGAGCAGCTCTGTCTGACGCCTACACTATATTGCATTGCATAATTGGGTAGTTTCCTAGGTCAAAAATAAATTAATTTGACGTTTCATTACAATAAACTATTGAAAAACATGCATACTTACTATACAACGATATTCATCGATCGAATTTTAGATATTTTTTATCTAATTTTGAAGAAAAAGTAAACTATTTGACGCAAGAAAACTATGACGTCATAACTCAGTTCAGTTCATACAAATTTCATAGAAAAGTATCGTTTTTGACATTTGGATAAAAGTTTTGAATTTGATTAGTTGGAAACTATCGTATTTTGTTTCCTGTTTTCTAATGAAATAGTTATCATTTGAAGTTGGATTAGGTACCTAATGATTGTTTTGTGTAGTGAATGAAGCTCATGTCTTCTAATTAGTTTGCCAGGGTTTCACAGATGTTTTTTTTTTGCGCTGCAACTCATTCAGTTTTACAATCGCTTTCAATGTTTAGTATCTAAAATATTTAACAAGCAAATAGGTGTTGTAATGTCTACCAGTCTGTTTACAACTACAAAATCAAACAACCACACTTGAATGAGATAAAAATTGCAAATCGCTGTCTTAAATCGTAACGTTATCCTAATGTACTGGCACTATCGATATAATTTACAACATGTACGCTTATCAGGCCATCTAGCGAAGGTCATCAGTAGTCACGCAGCATTTCGTGTCGATAACTAGATTTTGTATCTCACTCTTGCAGCACCAAAACCTACAAATGCACAGAGGACACGACGTCGAGAGACTCCGACTCCCTGATCCACGAGTACGTGGAGGCGACGCAGTCCATGTACTGCTGGAACCACCCGAAGGTCAGGGAGAACTGGAAGACGGTGTGTGCAGCCGTCGTGCTGCTGCTAGTCGGAGTGGGGCTCCTCGGCATGGGAGCCTTCGCTGTCGCTGAGCCAGAGAACGGCCTCCAAGGTGCAGTATTCTTTGTAGCTGGTATGATCTGCTTCGTGCCCGGGGCCTACCACGTCGTGTACATCTGGCTCGCCGCCCGAGGACAGAGAGGCTACGACTTCTACCACCTCCCGTTGTTTACCTGATTTATTTTACCTCTTAAGTTTGTGTAAGCTTGTAAAATGAGTGTAAATTAATACGAGGAGTCGGAATATCATGTCTGGAGATGTTTGTTTTGCGGTTTGTTTTGTTTTGCTCTCTAAAGAAGTTAAATCGATCCGATGTAGGTATTGTAGATAAATGAACAAAAACAAGAATAATAAGGGTAAGTTTTATAACATTTATAGCTTCTCTTGTTGAAGAAAAAATAAGAAAAAAATATCCATTTCGAAAGATGCTTCTCCTATAAACGTTATGATAATAATGTTGAATGAATTCGAAGAACTATTTATTAAAAACTAAATTTAAATTGTGTTAGTACGTTACGTAGATCGTCCTCCTAAATAAATTATAATGAAATTGAATACCTGTTTATAAAAATAGTACTTCCTTTGTATATGTAGGATTCTATTTTCAAATGATAGGTACAGAGATCTTACGGTTTTGCAACCTATGTGTAAATAAGAACCATGTTGAATATTAAAAATGTTGCAACTTTAAAGATTGTATTGAACAGTTGAAGAAGAAAGAAATGTATTTTCTGCAAACTACTTAACTAAATGTTATAGTGATATAATAATTTTAAACATAATTATAATAGACTTGAAGTGCCTAGTTGCATAGATACGTAGTAAAGATTTTGATTACAATAGCAACTTTGTAAGGTTTCCAGCGTCCATAATATTTTGGCGGTAAAATTATTAAATTAAAATACACCATTACAAATTTTAACGAATATTTATGTATTTTTAATTTCCCGCCATTATATTGTTCTAATTTTTAATGTTTATTGAACTTTTTTGTACGAATACTTAAAAAATAATTTGGACTTAAAACATAGAAATATTATTTTACTTTTAATCAGAAATTAAAATATTATCCATTTGAAATTAGTTTTCGACACAAAATGAAATTATCTCCACGTGGCCAACAAAAAGGATGATGATGCTAAATGTAACGTTTTAAAAAGTTTTGAACAACTTTTACTTTCGAAATAACAGGATTTTTATTTTTATACCTACTTTTGAAGAGTTCATTTGGCAAGAGAAAGTGTTTTATGTGTTTTGTCGAATTATGAATGTTAGAACACTTAGAAACGTTGTGTATAAGTAGTCTCCGATTTGCTAGAATACTAATTTGATTGAATTCAAGTGCGTATTCTAGGACAGACTCGCCAATAGAGGCGTGTGACCTTGACCTATTGACGTGTAGTGAATTTATACGTATTTTCCTCGTAGTTTTTTTTCTAAGTCAATCATAAAACCTCTTTCATACTCTATGATTGTAATAGACCACGCTAAACTTTCTATTTGCATTATTAATGCATCAACGATGTACGCGTTGACGATGGAATTCGTAATGTTGATTGATTGCAAGTCCATTGATTTTTAATTGCGAAATCTTTTAATTAATTACGACATTACCCGTCGCAGTCCATATTAACTGTTCTAAATTACAGTTCCTTATCAGAAACTTTGAATGTAGTATATAAAAAAGATTTGTACGAAAAATATAAGTTGGCATGAGAAAATATTTTCATTACGTTTATTTCCGAAGGCTCTTAGCCCCAGAAAATATTTTGTTGGAAGTTAGAGTAGGGTTCCATGTCGTTTGAATATAATTAAAAATGGATTTTATTTTAATATCTAGAAACGTGTCCTAGTTATAAAGTTTCCTCGTCGATATGAACATCAACTTTCTCCTATGGTCTTTGTATCGATGGTTGACCTTGGCTATTTAGATTAAATACTTTTTACATATTTTTTTTAAGAAAGTGCTTGTCTGTAGTCGTGCATCCAAAGTTTCATTATCCACGAAGTTGAGCGGATTATTTTTTTGACTCTGATTCATCTCAGTGGACAAAAGTCGTCTTTAGCTGCCTGTTAATAGAGTACTCATTGAATTAATAGTCCCGAATTTTAACGTTATTTTTTTATTAAATTAGTTCTAAACATAAATATCGAGTTTCGTTTTCCACGTGAAGTCGTGTTCCTTGCATTTTCCAAAGATACGTGTAACTACAAATTAATAATCTCGCAATGTTTTTTTTTATTTACAACGAAACTCGAAATTTGCAATATGTAATTTTAACATAAAATAATATTGAATTATGCTCATTTTTTTAATTGATAATTTAAGATGTATGTATGTGATATAGCGACTGATTTTGTATTACATATCAGTATGTTTATTTGAGGATGCGATTCGGGAACTACTGGCGAGCTAATAAGGCATAATGGAATAACATTCAAAAGTGAAAAAACGCCTCTTTTTTCAGAGACAAATGTTAAGTATAAATTAGATTTTTCGTTTACTGAAATACCTCTCAGTTTTTACCAAAGGCGTTGATGAAATGCATATTAACAAAGTTACCATGACAAATCCTATCTACATACTTAATTGGTGCACCTATTCAAATGTACTTAGAACATTTCTGATTATGTATGGTATGTATAATTAATTGTACATCGCACCGAACCTACGTCCGCAATGAATTGCATAATAAGAGATGACGCAAAAAATTCGTCATTGTCTATGTTTTATGTGTTAATGTGTTGTCTGTGTACAGTTATTCTGACAAAAGAGGTCGTCATCAATGAATCAACTGTTTTGTATATTTTACAGCGGTGACAAAATGGCGTCATCATGTTTATAAATAGCGATGTTTGTAGGGCTTCCTAACGCATCCTCATTATCGGGTCTGTACTTTCGTTGTATATTTGTACTGTATCTTAGGTTGTGTTCGCTCTTTCCCATTTACAAACCTATTTTCTGTAACGTGAAGTTGTAAATAGTCTCTAATAAATTAGTCATCTTTCTTCAAATTGTGTTTTATTTTAATAGTTTGTTAATTTGATTTTCCTTGTGCTGAATCAATATTGGTTTAGTAGTTTCAGAGATAAGCATGTTTAGTATCTTTAGTTCTACCCACTGTTCGTCGAGTGGCCTCTAGTGAAAAGACGGAACAAATAGGCTCGGATTTGATTATTTTGGTTGGTAAAAACCTGACACTACCTTTCGTCCCACACAGGGCGGAAGAAGTCATCAGATGATTATATGCGCTCTCAAAAAATCTAATGACGTGACAGACTGTTTCAGCACTTAAATTACTGTAATAGATTTATATATTTTTTTATCAGTTTTATTATTCAGCTGTAGTTGTGGGCGCAATGCTAAAGGGCAATAATGTACCATGGCACCAACACGGAGCAGGAGTAGAACTAGGGGAGGTTGTGAGTCAGTGACAGCCTGACACTCCCTCTCTAGAGGAAACATTTGATAGAATCCATAAAAAATATGTTTTAGTGTGCAGTATGTCTTGAGTCAGACAGAATATTAACCTTTTAATGTTGTAATATGAGACATAATAGTAAGAAAAGAGGTGTACCGGTGTTCCCTTGGAGTTTGATGAATTTAAATATCTATCAATAGTGATCTGTGGTTGTGTAAATTTACTAACTCTAGAATTACAAGTAACCACTTATAGTATACTAGTTGAGCATAACTAAAGTATATAGTACTTGTTGCTTTGTAAGTAAATTAATTATTACAGCTTGATAAGCTATATCACATTGGAGAGTTCTCTAACAATAGTTTCAGTAAGATTTTATAAAGAAATAAATTAATATTATGATGATTAGTAATTTCCATGAAACATAATAGTTTATTTTTTGTATGCTATCACTAATAACATTGTGACCTGAAATTATTATAACAGGGTATAATTAATAAAAAACAAAGACTTGTTTATCTTAATACTATATTAAATGTTTTCTTGCTATCCTTCTCAGCTTAAAATGCTGTAAAAACCTTAATTCACCATTCCAGTTCCTTAACACTTCCATCTGTTGCCGGTCTAGGAGGTCAGGCATCTCTATGCCACACGTTTCGAACTCTTCATGTTCTTGTTTCTTCGTAATATTGATAATATCCTCCCTACTGGCGTGCTGACGATTTCTCCTCTGTCCTACAGAGTTCTTTAACGCAATTTGCTCCAACTCCTCATCGAACCGCGCCAAATACTCCTCTATCAATTCCAAAGTCTGTTCTTTCGACAAAACTACACAGTCTTCCGGTAACCTTTCCTTGAACCAAAGAATCTTTTCGCCGATTAAATTTTGTTTTATATGTGTTCCCACTTTGTTCTGATCCTTTTTCTCGTGTTTCTTGATTTTGCTAATAACCTTTAATGTTTTTCTACTGTTTGGATGCTTTAATTTATCAATGTCCTTTTTAATTTTAGGCATTTTGATGTTTGTTTTGGTTATATTTCACTATTTCTCACGTGTTTTCGTCTTGGTCTTAGTCGTATATAATGCCAAACCTGTTATGACAGTGACAACTACCAATCTGTCATCAATGTGAACATTTGCGAATTGCGAAATCTGATACATATTTAGAGAAACTAGAAACAGGCACTCCCTTTTATTTTATTCAATTACTCAATATTTTTTCCTTATAAAGATATCTTATTTTTTTAACGTTGTTATTATTATACTTTAATTACACACATATTCTATCTAGTTTACCGGGATGCAATTCTTTCGTGTACCTTGTAACATCCTGTATTTAGTTTTTTATACAAATACAACTTTTGGAGCTAATATTTTATCAATTTAAATTATATCATAGTTCTTTAATTTATATCATAGTTATTATTTTAGTAATTATTTTATTTCAGATAAACTATCGTTTACTGGCTTCAAAAACACCACTCAATAACTGTCTAAAGTTCTTAACTTGTCAGACAGAACTGTCAAAACAAAACATAACCTCGTTTTGTTTGTTACTTTTATTTTGTCTTATTAAAAGTTTTCGTAACGATAAGCCTACTTCATTGTGTAAATTACAACTAGTTTTAGCAATAAAATATAAGAATGTTGAAACGCCCAAAACCTGGTGAAGATGAAGAGGATATTCTTCGCATGCAAGAAGAGTTTCTTAGAGAAAAACAAAGGCAAAACTTGCAGCCAGCGGCTGCTGTTACTAATTTACGTCCTAATGAACGTACGAAGCTATCTAATAGTACCGAGACAGGTAGGAAACCTTCCAAATACGCCCAGGCTAAGGGTTTAAAAGGTCAGACTGAGAAAAAAGCCCGATTTGAAGAATCAACCTCAGTAGTAGGAGATATTTTAGAAAAAAACCTAGAAGAGCCAGAGAAAATTGAACCAGAAGTTGAAGATGATAAAGTATACTATCCAAAAGTTATCCCTTCTTTATTGGGCGACATTGTTGAGAAAAATGTAACAGATTTTGTTGATTTTGATACTACAGAGATGCCATCACAAGGGTTTCCAGTAGTTACTAAGCAAACTAGTTTATTTTATAAGAGAAAAACAACACAAAGTGTAAATAAAAATGAGAATGTAAAAATGGATGTAGATGAACCATCAACCAGTACTGACACAAGTAAAAAGCAATCAAACTTGAATTTACCAGAAAAGAGTTTTATATTGTCATCAAAAGAAGCCAGTGATATTCACAAAGAAAATGTTAAACTTCTTAGTGAAATGTCAGAGCAAGACATCTTGGAAGAGAGGAAGAAACTTCTCTCAAGTATTGACCCTAAACTGGTTGAGTTTTTAAAAACTAAAAGACAACAGGCTAGTAAACCAGAAAGTTTTAAATCGGAAGAAAAACTGCCAGCTACAGTTGAAAACAAAGACACAAGTGAAGAAGCCATGGATACTACCATTGCCATACCAGAAAACAATAACCTTTGGGAGAATGATGTTCTAACACATCCAGAAATAAATAAATGGCTACATTTTGATTCATTAGAAAAAGACAAACTAGAATGGATGAAAGGGATAGAAGAGAGCAAGAAAGTTAAGGCAGATGAACCATATGAAGCAAGGTTTGACTTCAATGGATACCTTTTACCTTACACAATGGAGTATAATGAAAAAACTAAACCATTATTTCATCATGGTGATGAGCCACATAGACCAGGGTATTCTATCACAGAACTTATTGAACTAACTCGATCAACAGTCACCCAGCAAAGAGTCGTAGCCCTAAACACCATCGCTGGTATCATAGAATATTACAGTGCAGGAACATACAAGAATGTCATTGAAATACCAGTCAGCAAACTATTTTTTATTATAAGAATAGCAATGGATGACAACAAAATCATTATTCTAGAACCAGCATTGAGAGCCATGAGAAATCTTTTGTATAATAGGATTGATGAAGCTAGTTTGGATGCTTTGATAGGCTTTGAAGAAGGCACACTACAGCCTTGCCTAGAAAATGACAAGTCAGAAATTGAAGAGCTACAGTCAAAAGAATCAGAGTTCACCGACTACCATTTAGCAGAAATTGATATAATGACAGCACTACAGAGAACAGAAATCCTTCAAAGATTGTACTATATCTTAGAGTCAGTCAAACCAAACTTCAACTGTGTACAATATTCTCTGCAAATATTGTCCAGGTTAGCAAGAGACTCTTTGGAAACTGCACAGAAGATTGTAGAAATGGAACATTTGATGAATACAATAATTAAGAATTTTATACCAGTTACTAGCACCAATTTCGTCTTTGATCCAAGCATTGTGTATAATGGTAAACCTGTATTGGCTGCACTGAAATTTATCAGAATAATGTCCTTGCAATCCCTGGATGTCACAAGAATCTTGCTGATGAAATATGATTTATTGAAACCTATATCAGAGTACATTAGTTCTGCAGTTGATAGGATGTATGGCTTGAAGATACAGATAGAAGCTGTATGTACTCTCTCCAACATACTGTGTTTTGGACTGGGAACAGATGTGGCAGTGTCTCTATTTCCTGTTATCGTTACTGCATTGCACAAGCATGTCAAAGGAACAGATATATTTGTGGAATCTTCCATATTGTCAGCAACACATGCTGCAGTAGTGCTTCAATTAGTAAATAGACTTCTAAGATGCATACTAGGTGGAATGGACAGTTACAAGTCCCAAATATATCCTTTACTGAAGGAAGGTGTGCAAAAATGGATGGGCCAATTGTCTCAAGCTAGTAGTTATACTTGTGGACATTTGCGCCTTCTTTGTTCAGCTATAGACTGCTGCAAGACTGTCACACTAATTGAAAATCTTCCAATGAAGTTTCTTAATGATTCACTAAGAACTCTGTCTCAATCCCAAGGATTTGCAGTAATAATTAGAAATATGATTCCCAGTTCAAATCTGCTGTCAGGATTGGACAATAAGGACCTACATTTAACCAAGAATTTGATGTCACTTGGTGGGTCTGTCATAGACTCACCTCAAAAAGTTTTACCAATTTTAAATATAGCATCACCTATGCCATTCCTCGCGTCCCTTTTTAATCTTTTAACTTATGTGAATGATAAAGAAATATCTGAAATGTTTTTAAGACATCTGACCATGTATTTAAGCAAGATCAGCAATAAAGTCCCAAGTTTGTGTGATAACTGGTTCACGAGAATGGAATCCAATTTAGTTTTCAGTATAATAAAATTGTCTACACAGTATGATATTTCAGAGGGTAGCAAAGATTTGCTGTATACTGTGGCTAATAAGCTATGTTACATTTTAAGAAATGACAAAAAATACGAATTGGATTTCCTGTTTGGATATGTCGTATTTAACAAGCACTGGTTCACTGCTGAAAGATTGTTGCATCTAGTAAACTTGACTGATGCAGATGGCTTCTCTAAAGCTCTAACATCAATTGAGGACATAAAGCTATGTTACAGTAGAGTGGTGAACATAAATTATAGAGATACGGGACCTAATATCAAGTTCAAGAGTTGGCAGGAGCCAATATTGCCTAGAGATTGGATATACTTGCCAATTTTAACTCTGTACAGCAGAAGTCAAGAAGCTGAAAATACTCCTAAAGTTTTTGGAGAACACTCCAGAAAAGTCGCCGCGAGGATAGCTGCTGAGAAGGAATTTATTACAAGATGCAGTTTGGAGTGGATTTTATTCAATGAACTGTGCTTCCCTGATCTATTGAACGACATCGACGTTACTGATAGGCTCTGTCGCATAATGTGCGTGTTTCTAAGCGACAATTCGCTGTTTTTGGATCCGAAAATAAAAATATTGCTCAAGAAATGTACTGAGATATTGTTCAAAAAGAAATCGAAATTGAATTTCGACAAACAACTGGTTGGGTTGCACAATTTTCAGGATTTCTTTACGCAATTTTTGGAGCAATTCCAGTCAGTGAGTTATGGAGACCCGACGTTTGCTGCTTGCGTATTAGTGCCATTAGCACAGAGACACGACGTAAAGTGGCGCAAGCTCCTTTGGTCGGAATATGCTGGGTGTTTGAGAGCTCTAGATTGCCCTGAAGAATATCTCTGTTACGATATAAACGAGTATCTACAACCCGAAGAGACAGACGAGTCGCTGATACAATCTTATTTCCAAGCGCTTTCTTCAAATCTGGTGAGAGAAGGCACAATAGCCCATAAAATTGCTCTCCATCACGTTACATGTTACAAAAATCGTTCTGTATCTAAATAGGTAATAAATGACTAACATACTTATAAAGAAGTTTATTTTGTTTTATTTAGATTTCTTCTCTATCCTTGAAGAACTACGCGCATTGCAATATAAAGTCCTTTGTATTTGTTTAGATGGTAAAATGTTTAAATTTTGCTCTCCTGCTTCTACATATGTATAGTCACTTGATAGGCAAGTCATTTCTAAACGAAGAGACGGATTATCTCATGGTAAGCAATTAGCGCCGCCCATGGACACACGAAACACGCAGCTATTTTTTAGTTACGAGTGCGTTGCTGGCCTTATAGGGAATTAGGTCATAGTTCGTTAGAGTCACCCGGCACCGCCTCGTCGCACGGCGGGTACTCGTTGGCGACAGGTAGGTACCTAGTGCAAGGGTAGACGACGCGTTATCGCCAATAAAAGTCCCGCGGTCAATCGGTTATTTCGTCTATAGAGCGTGTCTCTTTGTAGCTGTAGCAAATTTTTTTTTTTTTTTTATTTAATTTTATTTAGGGTTTTTGGTTAAAACTAACATATCAAACCCATTGTTCCTTATAACTATTAACACATAGTACTTATCCTATCATGTTTATAAATAATTACGAGGGTCGGTGCTAGGTCTGCGGCACTAGCAAGTATAGCTGTAGCAAATGAAAATAGTTATTACTCTTCAAACAAGTAGGTAATAATGACAATCGAGTACTATAGTATACATAGTAAACGTGCTCTACAATGCATCTCTAAATGAAGGTAAATTAAATTAAATTACA